AAATAAATACCACTATTATTGTTTGAATATAAAATGATTTTCTATGTAGAAATTATGAATCATTGTATGATAAGTGTTCCTAGCAAGGTGAATCTGGGATGATTAATCAGCATACCATTTGCTTTTGCATATATGAGAAATAGACAGTGGAAAATAAAATGAAAAACCTGTCAATTTAATGCAACATTCATCAACCTCACACCTGTGATGTTACATGGCTGTTATGAAGGTTTCTTTCATGGGGATGTTTATAGTGGTCAGCAAATGCTACAAACCAGAAATTTGTGTTAAAAAAAACTCTGTAAAATTGCTGCCCAAACTGTCTTGTGAGACAGACCTTATTCCATCAGTGTGGTGACATTGGCTTTATATTTCAAGAGAAACTCCATGAAGAACATGTGTTGAACATTGAAAGGTTGGGGTTCATGAAGAGAGTTTGGGCCATCATAGGCAGAGTGACTTTGAATTCTAGGCTCTGACTTAACTCATTTTTTTTGTTATGTAGGCAACATCTTTGTTTATAGTCCAATGGGGAGAAGCTTCTGCCACAGTGAATGTGGCAATTTATTAAAATGGAAAATGACACATGAGAGAGAGGGGAAGAAAAGATGTATAGAGATAAGGATCAATGCCAGACAGATGGGACAGCATGTTTCCTCACTTTATAGATCAAGAATAGAGTTGGTTCGGCCAGCAAATGCCCACAGTATGTGGAGGGATGTAAATTCATTTGAGGAGGAAGCATCTCATCACAACACTCACACCTTCCTCTGCACCCAAAACACATTTGCTCCCTGGTCATTCTCTCACACCGGTTCTTCAAAGTAAGAACTAGATTTTATTACAGAAAATTTGAGATCATCAGATTTATTTCCCAGACTCTGAATTCTTGAGAGATGTACTTCTTCTCTGATTACCTCTCAGTTGCATGGTGGGCCTGCCTCTGCCTCAAGCCTCAAACAGCAGAATCCCAAGGACTATGAGGATCATGGCAGCAAACCCCATCCTGATGAGATTTTCCACTGTGTGATCCTGGTTCTCTGAGGCTGTGAATATAGACAAAGAAGCACTGAATTAAGTGATGGCCCAAATTCCTTCATGATAACTAAATTTTCTCAAGATAACTAAATGTCCACTCAGGACACTTGAATTCCCTGAACAAAACTTGGAGCCTCTGTTTCCAGGGCTATGTTTTTCAATCTCTTTATTCAATTGTCTTGGGTTTAGGCAAGTTCTAAGATGGACTGATAATCACATATGATCCTGAGAACAGAGCAATAAGATGTGTGCATGCTTAAGATATCTGAGTTTTACTTTCTCATTTACTGTAAATACTCATCATTCTCATCCTATAATTTCATGAAGTCTGGGGTGAATCTTTATGCTGGCATATCTGTGTTCCCTCTCCCTCTCTTATTCTTAGTTTCTTCATCACCACTGTAGAAACACCAGTGAAAACAGTAAAGTCAGGGTAGAATAAGTTGTCAAGACATTATAGGCATTGTACTGAGCAGCCAGAGTTCCATCTAAGTGTGGTGTCTTTGTGAACTCGGTAGAGGTTGTGTGGACTCACATTCTCAGTCTGGGGTGATTTCCTAAATGGGTGTTTTTGCTGAGCGTTTGTTCCATTGTCATACTTACACCTTCCCATGTCTCCTGTGATCTGAGCATTCCGTTGATCTCTTCTGAATACCCAGAACCACAAAGGGGCAGTTGGTGAGGAACTCCCTTATTTCCCCAGAGATGAGATATGGTTTTTGCTAAGGTTGAAAACCTGTGTCTTGTTGCTAAACTTTCCCAGATGTTTCTCCCCACATCAGACCAAGAAATTTCTCTATGTCCAGTTCAGTAGGAGCACAGCCTTCTGATGTAGACTGTGATCCATCTCTTTTCTTGCACATAGTATGTGGGAAATGCAGGATTAAGGTATGAGGCAGTGTCATGCAGAGTGTTCTGCAGTAGTCACTTTCAAAAACTGGTGTGAAGTGAGTGTGCATGTGTGTGTGTGAATCAGGAAAGAGAGTGGATTTTAAGCAAGTGTGCTCTCACCTGATAGTCTCCCCAGTAGCATGGCTAGCCCACACTAAGCATAGATCCAAAGACTGGCATATCTAACCCTTACTTTTGTCCTCTTTACAAAGAATAGTTATCAAGACAAACAGAACAGCTATAGTGTGAGGAAAGAGTGGTGCATCACATTACGAGAGTCAAGGGTAAATTGTGTATAGTCCCTGGTAGTTCTATCCCCAAACTTTTTGTTCAGATGAGCACACCAAGGGCAGGCAGAAGACATTCTTAGCTGTCTCTCTTCAAATGAGGGTTGAACCTGTCATATCTCAGTTTCCCTATTTCATCCTGAAGTGAAAGGTTGCAGACTTCACAGAGCAGTAGGTTTTGACTGAGACTGCTGGATTTTATTTTGCTTAATGTGAGAATCATTATATTCAGGTTCTTTTGGAGAATTCCGTCTGGTAAGGGTGATGTATGAATTTCTATCTGTTTTGAACAGAAGGAATGTGTACCAGACTCTGTAATTATTATAGCAAGGCTACTTTCTCCCATGCAGACACTGAGGGCCATGGATTCACTAACAGCAAAGGTCTGTGAACCCTGGTAAGTGGAGGGTGATGACCAGAGGTTGTCACTGGGGACTGGTTTCTGCCTAGTACCTTATATCTGTCTATGGCCTCCCCAAGATGCCCTTTTTGATTTTCTCAAACCCTTCTGGGTTCCATAAGCAGCGACTGTCAGTCATGAGCATTCCTAGAAATATCCATATTGGACTCCATCATCATGAGGGAGAATATCAATCTGGCTGACCCTCTGAAGCATTTGGGACCTAATCCTTGGCTATGATTATAAATGTATAATCCTGATAAATGTATACCCTTTAGCTCAGAAAGATCTGGATCACCTCACCTTGGATCATTAGCTCCACAAGGATAATAGGTATAGAGATGAGTTGCGGTATCCATAGCACCCGTAGGTGCCCCTGAGAGTGGGGGTCACAGTACTCATGGAGAATACTAGAACTATGCTCCATGAGCTAAAGGGAAATTTCCCGAATGCTCTGCTATGGATCTGTGCCTCACCCTTGCAAAATGTCAGTACTACTGTGGACAGATCCACTGCAGAATCACATTCTGGAAGATTCTTCTGTCAGGAGAACTCACAGGCAAGGCCAACACCGAAGGAAACTTAAAGGTATGGGCCACACTTCTATGTTTTATATGAAGAATAGCAGCAGTCTGGAAACAGGATTTATCCAAGTCAGCATCTCCATAAGCAGCTGTTTAAAGCCCATAATTAGCTACTGTCCTTTAGGAGCCCACAATCTAATATGGTCTTTACTTATCCTTCTAGTGTCTAACTCCATGCAGCTGAGGACTGTGTTCTCACTACCTTAAGGGCAGGATGGGAAGGTGAGTGTTTTGGTTCCCTATTCTCCAGCTCACCCACCTTTCCCATCCTCCATGCTGAGCCTAAACATCTCTCTCTGGATGCCACCTTCTGTAGCACAAACTAAATCCTGGGCTTCTGGGATCTCTGTTGGGTTTTCTGTTTGCCTCCTGCATGCACAAGCTGAAGTGACCGAGAAATGGGGACTTTCCTGGTCTAAGAGCTGCCAGGCAGCCTCAGGATGGAAGACACTCTGCACTGAGGTGCCTGATACTCACCAGCTGTTGGCATGGGCAATGATGTTGGCAGGCTGGAGGCTATAATGGGTCCTAGGAAAAACAAGAGAAGGGTGAGAGTTAGAAGCCGACCCAGTGTCCCACCTCTGCTCACTGTCCTACCTCTGTCCTATAACCTCCCCAAGATCCTCATGCTGTCTACTCCAAACGGGTATTGTAATATAGAATGAAGTAGACATTGCTTGAGGATTCTCTGCTGGCATTCACTCCATGGCAAAGGATTAGGGTGTCAAAAATGATTAGTCAATGATTGGGCTGACTCACCTGAGATGTGTATTTCCAGAGGCTCACTGGATACTGACCACAAGTGTGGGGTATGGTTGTAGTAACCATAGCATCTGAATGTCCCTCTGTGGTCTGGTGTGACATGATCTGTAGGGAATAAGGCTTGGTACTGTATAATACTGTGTATAAACTGAATTCAGAGACCTAAAGAACTTTTGATCATCCTTGGTGAGAATGAACTTGTCATATCCATCCTGTGAGATTCACTTAAGAGTCATGTTCCCTCCTGAGGTCACCACAGGGCTGGATAGGACTGACAGGCTGGGTTTATTGTAGTAGATTCCCAAAAGAGAGGGAGGCATCCTGTTACATTGACTCACACAGCCAGAATATTCTTCAGGGCTAGGCTTTGTCATAGCAATACTTCTGAGAGCAGAACCTTGGGCTGAGACTCTGACTGTCCCCTCACCTGTCACCACAATCTCCAGGGTGTCACTGCGCTCTGACCAGCCAGCTGAGCTGTAACAGTAACAGCGATATTGTCCCCCATGTTGCTGTGTCACAGAAGGGATGGAGAACTTGGCCTTGTTCTCAGGCTTCTCTGGGGTCTGTGTGCCCCAGGGTGATTGGTTTTCTTCTTTATGTAGAACATATATTTGTGCATCCATGTTCCCCTGACACCCGATGGTCATGAGACTTGTGTTAGTGACCACAGAGGCTGGCTCAGCCTTGATGGTGGTTTTGTGGAGGGTCCCTGCAAGGAAACTGAACAGAAGAAGTTGGTTCTGTGTGAAAGTGCCACAGTGAAAGTCACACTTGTAGATGGTACCCTTTTCTTTTTAATTTATTCTTCTCTCATGCAATACATCCTGACAGCAGCCTTCTCACTAATCCTTTCTCCCATATCCACTGCTTCTCTGTTTCCTTTCAGAAAGAACAGGTTTCCCAGTGATATTAACTGAATAAGGCATAACAGCATGCAGTAAGAGTAGTCACACACCCTCATATTAAGGCTGGTTAAGGTAATCCATTGGTATGCAAATGTATTTGAAAGTTTTTCTGTGTTATGCCTGTCCCATGGTCAGGACAAATTTCTCATCTACAGTCCTGCAGCCTTTTAGAAAATAATCACTCAGAAGCTTATATTAATTATTACTGCTTGGCCATTAGCTCAGGCCTATTACTGACTAGCTCTTACACTTAAATTAACTCATAATTCTCATTTATGTTTAGCCACATGGCTTGGTACCTTTTCTCAGTTCTGCCTTGTCATCTTGCTTCCTCTGTGTCTGGCTGCTGACTCCTGACTCTGTTCTTCCTCTTCCCAGCATTCTCCTTGTCTATTCATCCTGCTTATACCTTCCTGCCTGGCTACTGACCAATCAGCATTTATTTATCAACCAATCAGAGCAACACACATTCACAACATTCAGAATGACATTCTACAGTACTCTAGTCCCCCCTCAAAATACCCTTCCACCAATATCTCACATGTCACCCACTCTCAATTTGATAACTTCCTCTCCTGTTTCTCTTCAGAAAATGGAAGGCCTCCCATGGATATCAGCCAGCCATTGTATATAATGTTGCAGTGAGACTAGGCACCTCTTCTTCTATTAATGCTAGATGAAGCAATCCAGTAGGAAGAATGGGTCCCAAAAGTAGGCAAAAGAGTCAGGGATAGCCCCTGCTCTCACTGTAAGGAGTTCCATAAGATCAAGATACACAGCTGTAATAGATATGCAGAGGGTCTAGGTTAGTCTCTGGGTGTTGGTTCATTAATTTTTTTAGAGGTCACATCTAGGCTGATGTGAAAGAACTTTCTTTCTAGGTTTTCTTTGTCAGGTTTTGTTAATAATAATTTTCTGGTCTGATAAACTATGTTGGACTATATTTCCTCTTTCTCTAGGTTCGTAATGTCTTTATTTCAAATACACAAACATTTGGAAAAAGTCACCAGCTTCCAGAAACCGAATTTCCAAAGGGGAACGTTTCTAGTGACAGTGTGTTCAGTATGGAGGAAGTCAATCACATTTTGTATTTATTGGACAATCAAAGGATCAGTCCATTTTATGTACAGCTCCTAATTTTAGGTATAAAATTGTTCATAGTGCTCTGCTGTTAATATATTTTTAGTGAATGTCGGGATGCTGGAAATGTTCCTCTGTGGTTAGCAGCATACACTGCTCTTGCTGAAGACCTGAGTTCAGTTCCCAGCACCCACAGCATGTAGCCCACACACATCTATAACTCCAGCTCCAATGTCCACTGTGGCCTCCATAGGCACCATACACACATGAAATAAAAACACACAAACACATATACAAACACATAAATAAAACACAATAAACCTTTAAGAAAATAAAGTGAATGTATGGTTGTACATACCAGGCACTGAGGCAGAAGGACAGCAGGTTTGAGGCCAGCCCTGTTGGGTTGACAGACCTACATCATTATATCCAGCTTTCATTTATAATTGTTAGTTTATATTTTAAATTGTTTTATTTATTTCTTGGGTGTGGGGAAGACACCAAGGACTTAGGTGGAGGTCAGAAAACAAGTTGTGGGAGTCAGTTTTCTCCTTCCCCCATTCCTGCTGATTGAACTTAGGATATCAGGCTTGGTGGCAAGTACCTTTACTGGCCAAGCCATCTCACTGGCCCTATTTTATTTACTTATTCTTTGAGACATGGTTTCTCCATGTAGCTCTGGATAATTAGAACTCACTATTAGACCAGCTGGCCTCAGACTCAGAGAGACTTGCCTGTCTCTACCTCCTAAGTGCTGAGATTGAAGACATCACCACCATGCCTGGCTTATTTATTTTAAAACAGTGTCACATGGGTTCCTCTTACTCCTGTGCTATATAGGTGAAGATGACATTGACTTCTTTTTTTTAATTTATTTATTATGTATACAATATGCCTGTATGCCAGAAGAGGGCACCAGATCTCATTAATGATGTCTGTGAGCCACCATGTGGTTGCTGGGAATTGAACTCAGGACCTCTGCAAGAACAGCCAGTGGTCTTAACGTCTGAGCCATCTCTCCAGCCTGACATTGAGTTCTTGATCCTCCTGTCCACACCTTCATAGTGCTGGGATTTCAGGTGTGTACCCCCACCCTGGCCTTTGGTGGTTAATTTGTGAATCATATCTCACTCTGTAGTCCAGGCTGGCATGAAATTCACTAGGTATGCCAAGATAATCAGAAAACAAAGGCAATTCTCCTGCCTCAGCCTCCCTGGGGTTGGGATTATGGATCTGTGCAACCAAGCCTGTAAATTTTCTTATTTCATGGCTTTGAAGAGTAATGTCATTAAAACTAGTACTCAGTGTGAAACCATTCCCTTCTATTTAGTTTCTCATTTCATGTGTTTATTGAGAAATTTGCTTTATTTCCAAAATGTATGATGTTAGTTAAGATGCAATAAGGGCAGGTTCTCAACAGTTCACAGAACCCCTGTGTCTGTTAGGTCTCCTGGCAGACAGAGGGTCATTGTTCCTTGTTACTGGGAACAGAACCCGGTTGAGTGACTGCCAGAGCAGCATATACAGTGGACTCCTCTGAGGCCTCCCCTGCCTGGGAGGGAGGAGGTGCAGCTGTCCCCTGTCTGAGTGACCTGGTGCACAGCTGGGCATAGGTCACATCCAGGGTTTTCTGGGATTCCGCAGCCTGGAGTGGGAGAGAGTGAGAGGAAGGTTATGCTTGGCTTGTGGGATACTGAAGTCCTGGGAAGGACAGGACTCACCTGACTGTCCATCTCTCTGTCATCTTCTGCTTGTCCATCTTTGGTGTCCAGGACTTCTCCTGACATGACAGAAGGAAGGACAGCCCCTGCCCTCCTGAGCCTGGAGCCTTTCAACTGGGCATATGTCTCTCCCTGGGGGTCTTCTTCAGCTGGTCTCTGTAGCAGGGAAGTAGTGAGGGACAGACAGTGTCTCCCTGTTCCCTTGGGTATCTCTGGCCAGTTTTCCACAGTGAGGCTAGAGTGACCCATTTAGATGACAGCATCCCTGATGGGATCTTCTGGGGCTTCCTTCCTACAGTTCTGACCTCTTATCTTGACATTCTAAACCTCACTGTCTTTGCTGTACTCACAGAGTTCATCTTCCTGAAAACACATT